AGGAAGAGGTAGAAAGCTGATACGCGAAAGTTAATGTAAAGTAAAGAAGCAGTTTAACGTTAAATTGATGATACCCTATACTCTGAATTACCCTTTCTTTTAACTACTATTTTGTTAAAGCAATTAAAGTTTTATTTATAAGACTTCCTATGAAACGAAAATACGCTAATAATTTAAGTAGAAGAATAAAACATAGGAACTTGTTTAGTTAATTAACTTGCGTTTCTTTATCAAAGTTGCTATTCGATTTAACCTTTTGTGATACTTTCACTTTTTTAATTACGTACTGTAAATAATAAGTAAGCGTGTACACTAGCTTACTTTTTATACACATTCCATCTTAGTCCTTTGGGATGCCAATACATACATGCTCGTGGGTTCAGAGTTCTCTTAATTTAGCCCATCTTCAAATTATCCCCAATTTGGTCGATAAACTTTCGTCTATTGTGTCCCTTGTCACAATCTGATGCACTTCAGCAACATTATTTTGTTTAGTCACGATTTTCTTATTAATTACTAGCTGTTCCTCGCAACTTCGCCCGCGTGTTATTTGGAGTTTTAATTTTTTTGTAATGTAGCTAAATGTAGCCTAAGTTACTCCTTGTGACATCAGCTATCTGCTAGTGAAAATCCAATCAAAATCGGTCCAGCCGTTTCGGAGATTAGCCGGAACCAACAGACAGACAGACAGAAAACTTTAAAAATTGTATTTTTGTTACTAGTACCGTATATATTTTCATACGCATTTAGTAAAAAACTGTAATTTTTACATTACAAACAGACACTCCAATTTTATTTATTTGTATAGATTTCTACGTGGCCAAGTCACCGAAGCGTACTTTTCCTAATTTTGGTCGCAATATCTTTTATAGCACAGCACTATAATACCCGAAAAGTAAAATGACATGTGAAATAAGAATAGATGGAGAGTTGGTTAAACAAGTGGATGAGTTTGTGTTTTATGATGTGTGTTTATCAGAGATCGTAGATATGACAAAAATATAGAACGAAGTAAATGGGCTCTCTATTGTGGGAAGGCAGAATGTAAGTATCAACAAAGGGGCCTATGATAATTTGCAATGCTCTCTTAGTCCCTACCAGAATGAATGATAGTGAAAGTTGGGTGTGGTACACGAAGCATGAGAATAGAATTAATGTGTGTTAGGGATAGGTAATTCTGAACGATAGGATGAGAAATTGTGTTATAAGAGAAAAGTGTGAGATGTTGGAGTAGGCTAAGCAATAACTGCCGTTAACCGACGGCCGTTAGTAAATTGCGTTCGTGTAGTAAAAATTAGTTGTGATAGCAAATAATGGAAATTCTAAATTCAAATTTATCATTTATAATTATTTTATGTTCTATAATTATGTATGTAAGACTTTTTGTGTGCCAATTTTGGGAATTCGGCTTCGATCGGTCGATTAACGGTGGTAGAGCCTTGCAGCAGCTTTTGCTGTTGCACGTATGGGCCGGCTCGAGCCGGGTTAGTACCACGACCTCACAGAATACCGGCGTGAAGTGGAAGCTCTGCTTCCGCGTTTCGTCTGGTGAGTGCAGGTGACCGGATGCCCAATTCCCCCCCCCCCCCATCAACATGGTAGCGGAATTACGTCAAAAACTACCCCAGGAGGGTACCAGTACCCCTGGAGAATCCCTCGCTGAGCATCCACGACCATGCTATTCCACTCCTGAGCGTGGGTGCTCAGGCTGCCCCGCGTATTCTGGGGGGGGCAAAATTCCGCTCAACACAATAACTGCTCGGGGCAAACTGAGCAACAAGACCAAGGCGACCCCTGCCACGCTATCCGTGAATTTCTGCAACATCAGGGGACTTCACTCGAACCTAAACGCCGTCCACTACCATCTTGAGACGGCGAAGCCGGCGTTGCTCTTTCTGACCGAGACGCAGGTGTCCTCTCCGGCTGATACTTCGTATCTCTCCTACCCGGGGTACAAATTGGAGCACTCCTTTGTGCCTCGGGCTGGAGTTTGCGTGTATGTCAGAGAGGACATCTGTTCTCGACGCCTCGGCAGTCTTGAAGGTTCGGACCTGTCCATCCTTTGGCTACGCGTAGACAGCGACGACCATCCGCGCGTCTACGTGTGCCTCTATAGGTCCCATAGCGGTAATGCCGAAACAGACCGACTCATCGACCACGTCCAAATGGCTACAGATTTCTTGCTACAACAGGTCCCATCCGCAGAGATCGTGATCCTTGGCGATTTTAACGCCCACCACGCCGAATGGCTCGGTTCACGTTTAACCGATCATGCGGGGAGATCTGTTTATGACTTTGCCTTGGCATATGGTCTGACACAACTGGTTACATCGCCTACGCGGATTCCAGATGTTGAGGATCATACACCTTCCCTGTTGGACCTTCTGCTGACCTCTCATCCGGACGGATATCAGGTTTCCGTCGATGCCCCTCTTGGCTCTTCGGACCATTGTCTGATCCGGAGTGTGGTGCCACTCACGCTCCCCTCGCGGTTGCGTTCTGCAGGTTGCCGCCGTGTTTGGCATTACAGGTCGGCGGATTGGGACGGAATGCGGTCTTTCTTTGCTTCCTACCCATGGGGGCGGGTTTGCTTCTCGCCGGATGATCCCAGCGCTGTTGCTGACTCTGTCACTGATGTAGTGCTACAGGGAATGGAACTATTTATTCCATCATCTGTGGTACCCATCGGAGGCAGATCTCAGCCTTGGTTTGGTCGCTCCTGTAAGACTGCATTACGCAGTAAGCAGGAGTGTTATCAAGCCTGGGCTGCGGCTTCGGTGACTCGGGATGTAAACACCAGCACACTCAAAAAGAAGTATAACTTCGCCTCCAGGTCCTTCAAAAGAGTTATTGCCAAGGCAAAGTCAGAGCACATAGGCAAAATTGGCGAGAAACTAGTTCGCCTTCCTTCGGGAACCCGTGCATTCTGGTCTCTCGCCAAGGCTGTCCAAGGGAATTTCTGTAAGCCATCACTACCATCTCTGCACAGGGAGGACGACTCACTGGCTCACGACGCAAAAGAGAAGGCCGACCTTTTAGGCTCCCTTTTTGCGTCCAACTAGACTGTTGATGACGGGGGGAACACACCGCCGACCATCCCGCGGTGTGAGTGCTCCATGCCGGATGTGCGATTCTCACAGCGCTCGGTTCGCAGAGCACTCCTCTCCCTTGACATCCACAAGTCGAGTGGGCCTGACGGAATCCCCCCAATTGTGCTGAAGACGTGTGCTCCGGAGTTGGCACCGGTTCTAACGCGTCTTTTCCGGTACTCTTACTCCCTAGGCGTAGTCCCGAAATCATGGAAGACAGCTTTTGTCCACCCGATCCCTAAAAAAGGCGACCGCTCAGATCCGTCCAACTACAGGCCTATCGCCATCACCCCCTTGTTCTCCAAAATAATGGAATCCGTTGTAAACTGCCACCTCATGCGGTACCTTGAGGATCACCAGCTGATTAGTGACCGCCAGTACGGTTTTCGTCGGGGTCGATCAGCTGGTGATCTTCTGGTCTACTTAACTCATAGATGGGCGTTGGCAGTAGAGTCCAAGGGGGAGGCATTGGCCGTTAGTTTGGACATTGCGAAGGCCTTCGATCGGGTTTGGCACAAAGCGCTTCTTTCGAAGCTCCCTTCCTATGGGCTTCCCGAGAAATTATGCAATTGGATCACCAGCTTTCTTGCAGATCGGAGCATCAAGGTCGTTGTAGACGGTGCATGCTCCGACTACAAGCCTATTAACGCTGGTGTTCCACAAGGCTGCGTGCTATCACCAACGCTGTTTCTTCTGCATATCAATGATATGTTGCAAGCTGGTAGCATTCATTGCTATGCAGATGACAGCACTGGTGATGCTCTATACACCGGCCGTGCCAATATTTCTCGGGAAAACGTCACCGAGTACCGGAACAAACTTGTGTCTGAAGTCGAGTCTTTGCTGGACAAAGTCTCGGATTGGGGGCGACTAAATCTAGTCCAGTTTAATCCTCAGAAGACACAAGTTTGCGCGTTTACCGCTAAAAAGAACCCCTTTGTCGTATCTCCTCAGTTTCAAGGTACTCCCCTTGTTGCCTCAGCCAGTATCGGAATCCTCGGCGTCGACATATCGAGTAGCGTGCAGTTTCGTGGTCACTTGGAAGAGAAGGCCAAATTGGCCTCTAAAAAGCTTGGCGTGCTCAGCAGAGCGGGACAGTATTTCATGCCGGCTCAACGCCTGCAACTTTACAAGGCGCAGGTTCGGCCTCACATGGAATACTGTTCCCATCTCTGGGCTGGGGCTCCCCAGTGCCAGCTTCTTCCACTTGACCGCATCCAGCGCAGAGCGGCTCGAATCGTCGACGACCGAGTCCTTTCCGATCGGCTCGACTCATTGGCACTGCGAAGAGATGTTGCATCTCTTAGCATTTTCTTTCGCATTTACCATGGGGAGTGCTCTGAGGAATTGTTCGGATTAATCCCAGCCGCCAAATTTCACGAACGCACATCGCGGCAGAACTCCCGATACCATCCACACCATCTGGATGATTGGCGGTCCACCACTGTGCGATTTAGAAGATGTTTTCTTCCTCGCACAACTTCCTTGTGGAATAGTTTACCACCAGCGATTTTTCCGGACCGATACGACTTAGGGACCTTCAAGAAAAGAGCCTACTCCTTTTTAAAAGGCCGGCAACGCATCTGCAATTCCCCTGGTGTTGCGGTTGTTCATGGGCGGCGGTAGTCACTTACCATCAGGTGAGCCGCATGCTCGTTTGCCCCCTCTCCTATAAAAAAAAAAAAAAAAAAAAAAAAAAAAAAAAAAAAAAAAAAAAAGATCGTCGATCCACTTATTGCATTATTACTACGAGATGACAGCGCCGCCACATATTATGTGTTTAAATTTTGTGAAGTAAATTTTGAGTACCTATAATACAAGTTATACGTATCATGTTTTTTGTATGTTACAGATGGCCGATAAAATATTGACTATGTTATCGAGATGATAATATTGCCGTTTTAAAACAAAATGACATTATCGAACAACTGTGAAAATAATTTGCCTACGACAAGTGATGTAAATGAAAACTCTAGTTGTAATTTAGAATCGTTGTATTGCTCACATCTTTGGTCTAACAGCATCTTAAGAAAGGCAATCATAAATGCACCATTAATAGATAATAGAGTTACAAAATATTGTTCTACATGTAGAGGAAAGATAAGAAATTATGAAGTGAAATCGCTTAATGAAACATTTTTTCCAAACAATTATTCTACGCCAAGAGAGAAAATTGGTTCAAAAAAAGTGGAATCCAATTTTGATGAACTAGAAAGAATATCTTGTTGTAATGATGGCAGTTACATCAGAAATAATTTATATGATGATGAAAATCCCAATTTAAATAGAAGTCAATGCATTCCAACCATTTCTCAAGAAATTGATTCTAGTATTCTACACAAATTTAGATGTACTTCATATGATACACGTTCTAGTAATTTAAGCCAGAGAAGATTGCGTAAAAGTTTAAAAGGCATAGGGTGTTTAATAGATTTCACTTTGACTGAGAGTTCAATTAAAAAAAGAACGCAAATTCAAATCTGCTCAATAAGTATAATGATTGTAGCAATTGTTATAATTAGTTTAATTTTAGTGAATTTTACATCACTTAAAGTAACAGATGCCACCGATATTATTAGTACAAACTCAGTGCCAACATACAATATAAACTTGAATGAATCAACTTCAGCAACTGCTAGTATTTATTCAAAGTTTCCTTTGACGACCACCGATACGGTCACAGAATTTATTTCCACATTAAAACCGTTTCCTGTTACAACTACAAGAAAATTATCCCATATATCTAATATTATACCAAAAATTCGAAAAAACATTAAGACGTATCCCAAAGACAGGAAGAAAAATCAAAGTAATGAAAAATTTAGAGACGTTATAAACGCTGAAAATATATCACAAAAATTTTGCTCGTGCCAAAGAAATGAAGTGTGTATGTTGGAAGAAAACAGTGGGACATCAGTTTGTAGAACTGCAATAGATCTTAATGACCCGACAGGTGAGTAAATAAACACTAAACGGTTTAAGTCAATCACTATCTAAACGGCTTTAAACAGTTCATATGTTTTTTTTTAATTTTCTTTCAGGTTGCGGTGGATTGTGTGCATTAGAGACAGAAGCATGTCACTTAGTGGACAAATCTCGTGGAGTGCGTGTCTGCCGCTTATTGTCACTAGCCACGTGCTCTGCACAAGAGTGGCGCTGCCGAAATGGCTTCTGCGTATCTGCTGATGCCCGCTGCGATGGTTCCATACAGTGCTACGATCGCTCCGACGAAATGCACTGTGGTAAATTAATATATTGTATTAATGTAGTACGTTTTGTTCTTTTATCTTAGGCATAATAATTATGCCCACTTATTTATCTGATAATTTTGTTGTTAACCTGTTTTGTATTTAATTTATATAAATATTAAAACACAAGTAATATTTTTCACAATTTGCGAGGTTCATTGTTATTCATACAAAATAACTTTTCAGATTGTGATATGACAAAGCAGTTTCGCTGCGGCCAGTCTATATCTTGTTTTTCAAATACAAAACTTTGTGATGGAGTAATCGATTGTTGGGATGGCTTTGATGAACTTAACTGCACTTCAGGTACAAAAATAATAGCTATGAAATTAAAATTAATTAAATATTCATTTAGTATGTCATAAGACTTTTTTCTACTGTTCTATGATATTAATAAACTAGTTTCATATTGAAAATACATTTTAAGATAATAACAAAATTTGCTTACAAATATCGGACTTCGAAATTACATTAATAACAAGTCCACCGGATGTTTGATTAAAGATATTAAAACCTTTATTTGTAGAACAAATAAAGGTTTTAGTAAATAATGACCTATATAAATAAAACAATAGAGGTTTTCCTGCGTATTACGGGAAAACTACTGGATAGATTTAAGTTTTCTAAGTTTTATTTCTTAGATACTTGGCAAAAAATTGCGATATCTTAATTTAATATAAAGTTATTAAACTTTTATGAAACAACGATTTTATACGGGGTTTTTCACACTGTCAACTGTACCATATATTTTCTTAGACTGTACGTCGCTTGCTCTCGCGTTACTAACCCAGATAATTTATATATTTTAGCTATGTAGCTAGAAACGGAGCAAAGAATAAAATTATTTATAAAGAAATCTTGTAAGCAAAGTCTATTCTTGCATGCGATCTTTTTAATGTTTTTTCCTTCGCACATACCAACTTTGTTAATATATCAAGCAACGCGGATGAAGTCGCGGGTATTAGCTAGTTAGACATAAATTAATGTAATATATAGTATAACATTTTTATAAAATTGCACCTCTAAACAAATAATATTTTTTTATTATCTTTTGACCTGCAAACGTGTATAAATGAATGTAAATTGTACTTTATACCGTTCAGCGACTCACGAAACTAGGTTAGAATGCGCTCATTGAGAGCTAACGGGCCTTCTTACGCCACTTCCCCTTTATTGTAAAATTACTTACATATTTTATGTGACTTTATTTATATAGGATAAGGGTAACAAGCGAGCTCACAGTCCACCTGATGGTAAGTGGTTGCTGGGGCCCATAGACATCTACATCTATCCTCGTTTGCGAATCAAAATGCAGAATCGTTGTCAGCCGTGAGGACTAAGATGGAATGCCACTTTTCCAGTAAAAAGGGTCCCCGGTTCTCACACTTACCATACGAAACACAGCAGCACTGAGCTGCTATTTTACGCTAGTATCCTGTGAGAGCGTGGTCCTTCCACGGTCGAGCCGACCCATTCGTGCTATAACTACTTATATCAGTAATATAGCTGCGGCATGGCTCTACCACGTATAAAATTACTTTTTTAATATTTATGTTTATCTTGTACTACCGGCTTGGCACAGGTGATTTCTGGATCTCGACCACAGCGCCACCTACCTGGTAAAATTGTAAATCTAAACCACCCTGGCATCCACTCAAACATATACAAAAAATTTCATCAAAATCGGTCGAGCCGTATTCGATATTTGCGGTCAGTGATTTTTTTTTTAATAAAACGTTACCCCCACCCTAGGATTTTCTCCTGTATCGTGGAGGCAGTTTACAAACATATATTGCACAAGGACAAACATCCAGACCCGGAACAATTATTTGTAGGCCATACAAATACTTGTTCCGTGCGGGATTCGAACCCGCGGCCCCAAGCGTTGCAACTCATTGCTAAGCCACTACGCCACGGAGCCGTCAATTGATTTCGATTGATTTTTATATATAAAGAGATGTGTAAAAGATGTTTGTGTTTGCTACTATTGCGAAGGAATCATCGCAATCTTTCATTTTATATGAAACTTATTATTTTGAATAAAACAAAGTTCATTATTTATCACGGCTGTTCCACATTTTAATTTAATTTCATTCTTTCTTCTTTTCTATAACAACACCTCAAAGTCCAATGTTCACTTACGCAATGGTTGGCAGGCGGTTCACTGCAGTGCCAGAGATCTCGCATCTTCATTGTCGCTGTTGTCCGTAATCGTTCTGGGTATTTTAACTCTCTGACATCTCTAGAATCAGCTATCGAAGCTATAAGATTTTTGGAGCATTTACCATAGTTGCCTCTTACGGCATCCACAAGGCGAAATGAGATTAGGGATTTAGGGATACTCTTTGGCCGCAACCACATGGCAACCAGTGTATTTGCACTGCTTTTTAGCATTATTTTTAAAGCTATGATTTATATAGCAAACTTATTTAATGTAAGTACTATATTTTTGCAGAATGCCCCGAAGATCAATTTAAATGTACAAATGGTGAATGCATTGTTTCTTCACGATTCTGCGACGGTTTAGCGGACTGTGGAGATAGCAGCGACGAACCTAATGGGTGCGACGGAGCCTGCAACGCCCACGAGATTCGTTGTTTGAACAAACGCTGTATTCCAAGGTTTACACGATGTGATGGACATGATGATTGCGGAGACAACAGCGATGAATTGCAATGTTCTTAGTTTTGCAAGAACACGGTTACACTGCTTCATAACGCCAGTAAGGTTGGAACATTGAAATTGAAAAAAAAAGACTACACCAACATCAGAAACATTGTCTATTTATTTCAACATCATAATATGCCGTTACGTTGAAATGCAATTGTACTATTATCGCACATCATTGTAAATTAAGCATTACAGATATCTAAATCTATAAATCATTTGATCTGAATTTGTTCTAAGTTAAAAAGTTAAAAAAAATATAGATATTTTTAGCCCTATGAGGTTTAAACCCACCGTACTTTTAGGCGACATTCATGAATAATTTTTGTTATCTACTTATTCCAATTTTGATCATGGACCAAAATTTACCAATTCTTATTTCGCTTCTTGTTTATATTAAAAATAAATAAAATCTACTTTTCATTATGGTTATGGTTTTATTATTTTTGGCGTTAAGGGGTGTTTGGTTTCTAGGGTTGTATGTAGGATATAACAACTTGCTTACTAAAAAACATTGAGTTATATGTACTACGTACTAGAGAAGCCATTCCTAACAAAAATTGTGTCCTACTCTGTCTTCGCGCATGCGCGGGAGTAGTAGTCGCGCTTGCGCGAAGACTTTAATTTGATATAAAATAAGATATTAATATAAAATAAATATAAGAATGTAGTATTAAATATCTTAATTTGATCTGAAGAAACAAATTTCTAAATAAAAAATAATAATTATTTCATGGAATTCACAAATCTTCAATTTACGCAATATTTAGTTTGTATGGACTGCACTACAGTTCAGTTGAACATAGTCAATGTTCGGAATGGCTTCTCTAGTATGTAGTACATACCTAGTCAGGTCATAAATTCTGTCACAAGTTTAATATAAAATAATTGAAACAAGTTTATTTATTAGGTAACCATTTATATACCAAAATGAACTTAACAAAACATAGATTCTTATGACACTAAAGTTTATTCAAAATGACCTCCGTGATTTTGAATACAGGCCTTCAATCTGCGCGGCCAGTCGTCTATCGCAGCACGAACGAGGTCCATGTCAATATCGGCGGCTGCCTTAATCAAGGATGTCTTGAGTGACTCCAAATTGGGATGAGGCTTTGAGCACGCCTTTTCCTCCAAGTGTTGCCATATCTTGTAATCTAACGGATTCAAATCTGGACTGGAGGAGGGCCAGTCTTCGTGCCGGATGAAGTCGATTTCACGCGCCGCCAGCCAGTCTTGTGTGCTCTTCGCTCTATGAGCTGGCGCCGAATCTTGTTGGAATACCCAGTGCCTGTTATTGAACATGGTATGAGAAACAGGTTCCACAAGGTTCGTCAGGACTGTATTTTGATACACAACTGCATTCGTTTTTAAACCTTTCTCACAAAAATGTACCTCTGTTAAGCCTCAACAAGAAACTCCCAACCATACCATGAGCGAGGATGGAAAATGACCTCGTTGGACACGCGGAATACGGTTGCTCTCTTCTTCACTACTGTGTGCGTACACCTTATCATTTTGTTTGTTATAGCTATCTTCTACGGTAAAAATTTTTTCATCCGAAAAATGAATTTCCCGATATTTTTTTCCCGCGTACCGCTTCAACAAAGCGCGGCATCTCTTCAGTCTCAGGTCTATTAGACGAGCATTCAAACGATGTCCTGTTTTTCTTCGATATGCCCGAAGCCCTAAGTCTTCATTTAACACCCTTTCCATCGTGATTCTGCTTAACCCCATCTTTCAACAGGGCCAACAGTTTCTGCTTACGTTTGGGATTTCTTTGAATTCGCGCCTTCACAGCTTTTATCACTGCTGGAGTCCTAACAGACCGAGGGCGACCACTTCTTGACCTGTCATCTACACTAGAGTCTTCATTGTATCGTTTGATGGTACGATAAACGAGTCTTTTGGTTATATTCAAATTTTTCAGTATGTCAAAAATTTGAATTGTCGCGTAACCGCAACGATGCAACGCAATAACTGCAACACGATCTTCATTAAGCGTCCACTCCATATTTAAAAATGAATAAAATTGTAAAAAGTATACAGTTTTATTTTCATGAACAATTCGAAATTCGAATTCAACAAACTTTTTTGTGGCCAGCATTCTAAAAGAAAAGTTTTTACTGTGTGACAATACTTATGACCTGACTAGGTACATATATGTAAATATACACATATACAAACATACATATACACATATATATATACATGTGTGCATACATTACGTACATACCAATACATATATATGCACATACATACACACACACACACACACATGTTCATATTCAAGTTTTATTAATCATAATTGTATTAAGTCGAATCAAATATTATGCCAATTTAATAACATTTTAGCATTTTGGTTTACGTATTCATATTTTAATTATCCAATGATTAACCACAATTTAAGCGAAATACCAAACCACCTAGATTATGTGTTTAGAAAATAAGGTTTTAGTAATTTTTTTAAAGGTTGTTATAGATTTGGCATCCCTTATCTCTTTTGGTAGTTTATTGTTGTTTGATGGTGATGTAAATCTTGAGTTTTTTAACCGTTTAGTGGCCTTGAGGTATTAACGTCACCAACGGTCAACTAAGTTGGGCTGCCACTAGGGCTTGCAAAACAGGACCCGGTTCCTCATTTTTTATACCCCGTTCTAAATGAGGTTCGGAACCGGGATTGTCGGTTCTTCCCAGTTCTTAGTGTATTTTGAGTTACCTATAAAACCTTTTAAACACATGCACTTAAAATTAAAAAGATAAAAGTATGTGTAATCGAATATTTATTTTTATAAAAAACACCTGTCCGTCTCACTCGTAACTCATAATAACTAAGTATCTATTAATCTAGCTTTAATAAATGCAACATGAAATCTTTTGTTCAAGAGTTCAAACACTTAATACAAACTTTTAGTACTTTCTGAATTAAATGAAACTAATTTTATGGATTTTATCGTTTATTAATGCTGTAAAGCAACCGAAACGTCGCTACTTAAAAAGTTGATATTAAATGCGATAAAAATTAGTTTCATTTAATGTGTACTATTCGCGTAAATAAAAGAAATAATTACTATCTGAATTAAATATGTACTCACAAAATCAGACTAGAAACTAAAATGACAATTACTACTACTACTACTACTACAATTTCTATAATTGTAAAGAAGAATAAAAGAGTAACTTTAAAAAAATCAGATAAATAAATAAATAATGCGTTCATTTCGGTAATCTTGTTAACAACATATGGCTGAGACTTCCCAGTGAGTAATCAGAGGATACTCGTGTTTCCTTAAGGATTACAAAAAGTAAGATTACAAAAAGTTTAACCTCTAGAGAATTTTTAATTAGTACGTATATTAAGGACTGTGTTAATGTGAGTGTAGGAGTGATGTTGTATGTATGGTGTGGGGGTGTGTGTGTATGTGTTGGTGGATGACGAAAGCATAAGTAAGAAAACTAGTTGCCTTGCAAAATAAAAATTTACTGATCAAATATGAAAGACGCCATACTGTTACTGTTACTTGTAAATGTAAGATGTTGGTGAGATAGATTTCAGACAAATCTATTTAAAAGATTTTCAACCTCGTCATTAATAACTGTATACAACCAATGCATTATAGTTTTTGCATATATTTAATGGCATAGAATATATTTTAAGTATTTTATTTTATTTATTATATATAAAAGCAGATTGACATGGGTACTGTCTAATAGCAAAGACAGTACGTGCAAGAGGTATAGGGGTTACTATATCAGTTCTTCTCTTTTTTTGAAGGGATTCATTAAACAGTAGGGATTTATGACATTTTATAATGAGATTAAAAACATAAAGCTTTATAACTGAGAGAACTTTACTAATCTGATATAGGGTTAAGTTAGTAGAGAATCTTTTCCTTTTATCTTCACGCACAATCCCTGACGGGGTAGCCAGAGAGAACAGATCGCCAAGTGTCACGATCCTCTTTAAGGTTTGAAATACATGACCTTTATAAGAGACCTCTGTGCTCTTTCCAGATCTAAAAAGTGTATCCTTCCCAGATTGGGATGCAATAGGAAATTATCGATTGCGCTTAGGCTACGTAAATTTTATTTAACAGACTGCTAGACATTGCTGACCTTAATGATTTAAATACCCAGATTAACTTTCTGATCCGATTTATAACATCTTCCAACTGCGAGTGCCAACTAAGCCTTTGATCAACGATGATGCCGAGGTATTTAGTTTTGTTCACCTTATTTATAAGCAGACACTCACACGAGGTATTTTCAAGATTTGGATAGCTGTGGAATTTGATACATAAATTATGTCCTGGTTGCGACGATGTATAGGGAGCAAAACAGATGTAGTTCGTTTTTTGGATATTTAAAGTTAAAAAAATATCCCTCAGCCATTTCGACACACGACCTAAGCCCTTTACAGTTAGATGGTGTACGGAATCCCATGTCTTGTCAGTAAAGACAATAGCGGTATCATCCGCAAAGAGAAAATCCTTCCCCCGACGTCTTGTAAGTTACACAATTCATTGATATAAATTAAAAAAAGGAGTCGGGCCAAGGACACTCCCCTGTGGGACACCAATTTTAACGGTATCTTTGTTACTAATGTACACATAACACACAATCCCCCTGATGCCAATGCCCTCTAACCTGTCTACGAGAATGGAGATAGAATCAGTGTCAAAGGCCTTTTTAAGATCTAGAAAGACCGTAAGGCATTTGTATCCCTTATCGACTTCCTTAGCTATAATTGGGATCAAATCTAGAATGTATTTTAGTTTACGAAACCCGTATTGAAATTCTGATAAAATATTGTATTTGTTAAGATAACTAATTAGCTTCTTATTAAGAAACTTCTCAATTATTTTTGAAATTGAAGTCAAAACAGAGGTTGGCCTATAATTATTGACGTCTGATTTATCTCAACTCTTGTAAACAGGGGTTACTATAGATCGCTTGAGAGCACTAGGAAAAACTCCTGTACTAAAACAAAAATTTTCCAACTTACAGATATATGAGAT